ACAGGGAAACACTTTGCATGAGTGCATGGAAGCAGGCTAGGGCGTGGCTCGTCAGGGACTAACCCACTGTTCAGTTTGGCTAGGATGCAGAATATACAAGGAGGACTAATATGAAATAAAGCTGTAAATGTATGTTGGAGCCAAACTGTAAAGGGCCTTGAATGTCATCCCAGGGGAGTTTATATTTTATCCCAGAGAAAATTAAGAGAAAGGACGGTTTTTGGTAAGCAAATGCTTCTCACTCTAGAGGTGTAGCTCTTCCTCTAGGTATCAGTCTTTCATTTTACCTTAACTCCAGAAGTAATCTTCCTGTTTTTCCTGACAATAATGGAACCATCAGATTTGTCTCTTTAACTTATGCGATAGTACCTGGCATTTCATAAGAGAATAGCTCTGTTTATCAAGTACTTTGAGATCTGGAATTGGAAAGCATGGCAGATGATAGTTTATAGCATTATCATTAATCAAGTCATAAGAAATTGATTGCCCTGTGTTTATAGAAACATCTTAGTCGGATATTAAAGAAGTCTGGTATGCGGCTGACAGCTTAGTTTTAGCGATGAGCCTGATAGCACTGGATGAAGCTACGCTCATACAATTAATTTAAATTGGCTAGTAGGGCAACGCTATTATGGCCTCAGATAGGAATGAATGTCCACAAAGTTAATGATACATAGAAATGAATCATGTTGGGAAGAGGGAAGGAGGGAGCTTGATTCTGCCCCGGTCTGATGTCTTTTCTTCCCTTAAGGCAAAGCTCCCCAGGGTTTCAGGCTCAGTAGTCTAGGCACTTGATGTGCAGGCGTTCTACTGGAAATCGTGGTTCTGGTCTTCACAATGATCACAGGAATTATAGCCATAATGGACCTTTCAGATTATATACTCCAATCTCATTTTCTTAAGCCAATAACAAAATTGAAACTTGGGACTGGAGGCTATCTCAGTAAGAAAGAACCTTGATGTGTTATTGGTTATTTCTGATCACATGTGCTCTCAGAATTTTAGAGTTTGCATGCCCATCCAAGAATCAGGATGAATGAATTCAAAGTTGGCACTTTTATTTATATTTAGCAAAAAAAAAATACATATCCTCAAAGAATTCATTTTCCAAAATTACTATTTTCAAAATCTATTCAAAACCGAGAACACTTGAAAGTCAAGATGGCAAATCTGGATTTAGAAGAAGTTGTTAATCAGACTGGGAGTTCATGCAGACCTAAAGCGGACACATACTCAATAATAAGAGATTTCTTTCTGCAGTTGAACAGCAATTCCTTATAGTTCTCATTGTCGATTAGAAAAATTTACAGTAACAACAATCTCCAGAAAGTCCTCCCCCAGTGCCTCATCACGGAAAGATGACCCAAGGTTCTCCAAGGCTATGTCAGCAGGGTGGACACTTTGGCAGCTTCTAGCATTCAGGAAAGAATTCTGATATGGTTATAGAGAAAGGCTCCACTGCCAGAGGGCTGGCTTAGCTAATGAAAGAGAACTTCAATGGCAGTAGGGTGCTCACTAGGGGATGAATTCTTTGGCTATGGTGACCCATGATACAAGGAAAAATACAAAATTGTCCTTTAACTTCAGAAGATCATAAAGCGGTAGAGGGGGCTAAGAATTATACAGTTTTAAGACAATCTGAAAACATTAATTTAACAGTTGCTGCTTTAAATATGATATCCTGGTCCGGTGACCAACAACTTGAAATACTACTGGAGGAAATGAATAATAATAATGATGATGATGATGATGATGATAAAGATATAATAACGGTAATAGCTAACATTTATATAGTGTTTGCTTGGTGCTAGGTATTGTGCTTTATAATTATTATCTCATCTGATCCTCACAACAACCCTGTGAGGAAGGTGCTGTTATTATCCTCATTTTACAGAGGACGAAACCAACGTAGGCAGAGATTAAATGACTTGCCCAGGGTCACATAGCTAGTGTGTGACTGAGGCTGGATCTGAACTCAAGTCTTCCTGACTTCAGGCCCGGCTGCCCTATCAATCTGAAGTCCTATTAATCTTGACAATTTTTATATAAATAGTTAGAAGACAAGCAGTGAATCACAGGTTCTTTTTTTGTGTGTGTGTGTTCATTGACATCTGCAGCAATGGTTAAGGATGTCAACAGAGCCCTCCAAATGAAATCAACAGATACCTTAATTATTTGGTAACTTCAAATGTTAAGACATAGGATAGAACTGACGAAAAGTGTGTTAGAAAACATGGCTCATGAGTTAAAGAGGCCAAAGTCTCGTACACTACACTGAAGCCTCCTGTAAGTGAATCATTGGAGGGACTAGAAATGGTGGGCACTGAAAAACCCATCCCAAGAAAAACTAAGAACATGGGAATAATTCCTGAATCAGCTCCCTGTGTGCAGTTATACCACTGACTTAGAATAAAAGGCAAAATCGACACCAAACTGTCAGAAAAATCGGGACTCATTGCTGTCAAAAAATGGAAGTGGAATAAGGAGCAGACATTGCGATGAACCTACACCATTTATTATGGAATTAGTATACAGGCGATGGTCACACTGAGGAGGACAAATGAGTCAGACATAATGGCCAAAGATAACACGGATTTACATTACAGATGCCTCTGAAAAATCTCACAGAGGAGGGCAGCAGAAAATTTTGAGCGGCACCATCTCATAAAGTGAGAAGCAGTAGACGGAAACATGATTTTGCAGAAACCTTATCCTGAGACCCAAGTAAGGCAAATTTTCCAAAGAAATTAATAATAAGAGCTTGTATTTAGAAAGCACCTGAAGATTTAAAAAGTACTGTATGTATGTTACCTCATGATCCTCACAACAATGCTGGGAGTCAGAGACCATTCTGATCCTTACTTTACAGATGAGGAAACTGAAGCCAAGAGAGGGGAAGTAACTTGCTCAGGGTCACAGCCAGTCCTGGTCTGAGGCAGGATTCAAACTCAGACACTACTGACTCCAAGTACAACACTCTATCCACGAGGCCACCTAGCTATTTTTTTAGAGCCAAAACTGGAAGGAAAACAACAAACAGAGAGAAATGTCAAAGACATGCCAAGATTTCTGTAACAAACTGTTTTCCCCATCAATGGAAGTGGATCCACCACATTTGGATTCTAACATCGAGGGATCTGATGTGATGTATGAGGAAGCAGAAATAGCACTAAAAAATCCCAAAAAACAAACCAGAACAAAGATGGGAAAAGCAGATATACTAGACCTAATAGACACAAAAGAAGGTTGTTCTTGAGTTGATACTGTTTTGAGGACACGGAGAAATTGCTCTTTTAAGACATCCAAGAGAGGGAAAGATACCAAAAAAAGTTTGACACCAACAAGTACAAAATCCTCATGAAGCTAAACTACACATGCAGCTGGTAAGAATACAAGATGGGAACAGGCAAATTTCACATGTGAAATTTTCAAACAGACCACATTTCTGCAGTCACATGATTGACTAAAATACATAAAGAACCTAATATATTTGGATATATGTGCACATATACATACATATATGTTGTAATATACACACACATTAAAAATATTTGATTCAATAGAGCAAAATATCCCTTAAAAGGGTCTTTTCCTCCCAAATATCTACCATACGTATACTGAAATCACATGTAACAAACAGAGCTAACTTTGATCACCTTCTGGTTGTTAATATAAATAAGAGGAAAGGCCAATGAAGAAACAGGGTCCTAGAGTGACCTTTTGGCGCAGTCATGAAGGATGTTGAGCACTGTGTCCAACAGGAAGGGTTACTGCTAGGAAGTGGCCAACGGCCTCTGGATGCTCGTCTGTAGGTGACATGATGCTCAGATTCAAAAGCCCTTGAAAACGTTTAGCTTAACAATCCACACAAGTAAAATGAAGTCAAGCAAGAAGACCTACCACCCCTCTCTGTCTTTGGGTTAAATCTTTGATTGCTATCTATTTGTAATCCAAACTCAACAGGAGCTGCATCAGGACGGACACGGTGGTCCAACATTGATCCAGGTCTTCCAGCAAAGGCTGGATAATGACTTGTGTGTACCACAGAGAGAGAACACTTGTTTAGATATGGAATGAACTATGTGTCTTCTGACACTTTCAACTCTGAGATTCTGGGACTTCTTTCTGTTTGTCAGGGATTATTTCTGTAAATCTGGTTACATGAGAAAATATTGTCTATGCTAACAGGTTTCAAAGGAAGCCTCCACTGAGAGCCAGTTTCTAAACAGTAGCAAATAAAAATTTTTAACTATTCAGAAATGCTTTTACTAAACATGTCTTTTCTTTCATACATCAAACTAGACAATTTGCATACATTATTTTTTAAAAATAGATGACTGTTTTATTCCTTTGTCTATGATCGTTTTACCTCATGTTAAAACAAAGAATTAAGCATGGTTTCAAACTAAACCCACTGTGAGGCTTTGTGTTTACAGCACACAGTGATTCCTAGAAATGCATATTTCATTTACATCATCTCTCTTAACAGCCCTCAACTGGATGAACTGTCAATCACAATCACTCTATTAGGCAGTTTTATTTAACTATTTTTAGGAGAGGTGGAATGGGGTTGGGGGGTTTGTGTCGTTTTTTGGGAGGTGACTTGTATCAAATTAAAAAAACTCCAAAGGTCTTATTTGACATTTTCCAAATACTTGTTATTTTTTAGCTAGACACACGGCTACATGTTTTTGTTTTTTGGTTCTAGCCATCTGATTACACAGAACCTTTCCTTACCGACGTAGGTCCACAGTTGCACTATAGCTTATGAAATCTTCTTTAGAGAGGTGACCGAGGGCCGGAAGGCTGAACGATGCACACTCACGGTCACAGTCAAGAGGTGTAAGAGGCCTTGCTTGAACCCAGGTCTTCTCGATTCTCTAGTTACTACAGAGAATCCTCAGTATTTTCAGACAGACTGAAGATTTCTAACTGTGTCAGTACAGAAACAATTTTAACACTCCTATCTAATTGAGTAGGAAAAAATAAAGAGGAGAGAATGAGTTAAAACGGCCATTTTATTGAGTTCATCAGATAACAGAAACACACATACACACACCCCACACAGTCACTTTCACTTTGGTGTCCCCCTAGATTTTACATTTTAAGAAATCAATTCCAATTTTATTGTTAATTTAATTCTGTGTTAGTCAGGCGACAGGACTGCCCATCAGGCGTTCTTGCCGGAGAGCAATTAATCTCTTGAACCACTTCTCCTCGGCTTCAGCCTTCTCAATAAATAGCTGTAATAAAAATAATAATAATACAGGAATGAATTACTTTACTTGTTTGTCTGAGCGTCCTCAGGGTCCATTTTCCTCCCACAAGGCCTCACGCTGGAGGGTGATGGTGCCCTGAGGGGGCAGAGTCATTGTCACTGCTCCTATGTGCCTCTATTCCACTGGGTCTGGCTGTGTCCACTACCAGCCTCCTGGGGCCTGCATGTTCCCGTTATCTCACGGCCCCTGGTCTCTTAATCATGGCAACGATCCCTTCTCCGGGTCAAGCAACAGATGCAATTACGAGCCAGATTCCAGTACAAGTTGTGGCTCTCAGAGTGTGGGCCCATTCTGGCTCAGAGGGCAGCAGCTCAGGCCTATTTCGGATCCCCCCTCCTCCCCGTCTCCATCGGCTAGATATGATCTGATAGGTAAAGGCTGAGCGTTCTTACATTAGGATGTGCTAGAGAATTATCGTCTTGGTACTTGATGGCGGTAGGAATGCTGCCGGGGTCGATTTCTCTTTCAGTGTGTGGTGGCTCTGCAGTCACTGGTCCTGGTGTTGTTGGCTCCTGCTTTCCTTCGCCAGGGTCAGCGGGCTGGAAAAACAAAACAAAGCACCCACCCACCATCACAACCTGGGCCATGGGAGACAATTGGGGTGTTGTTCCAGGCCTGTTTCTGATGCCAAACAAGAAGTCATCCATTTCTTTGAGACGTTGCTATGACTCTCTTCTCAGTCTCAAAGATTACCTGGATTTCTGGATGAAGGAGGACAATTCTTAGCCTGGGGGTGGGGGTGGGGAGACAGGAAGCTTATTACACAGTAAATAATTAAGGAAATATTTTCCACTTCTTATTATTGGTCTAAGTCCCATTTTGTAGCGACTTCCTTTTGAAGGGTGGCATGGTGGAGTGGAAGGAGTGACAGACTGAGCATCAGGAGATCTGAGTTTGAATCCTGGCCCAGACACCAGCAGTGACCTTGAGCACATGCCAGGAGGCAGTGGGTGGAGTGGGCCAAGGGCTGGATCTGGAGTGGCAGGCCAGGGGTTCAATCCTGGCCCCCCCATTTCCCTGTAACATCTCCACCAAGTCACTTAGCCTCTGTGGACCTCAGTTTCCTCATCTGTAAAACAAGGGGGTTGGATGAGATGGTCTCCAAAGTCTTTTTCTGTTCTGAATTTCTGTTCTGGTATATATCCCTACAAACTGATAATACCTACACTTACCCGACTTCACAAGGTTGTAAACCTTAAACTGCTATACAAATCTGAGCTATTGCCAATAGCTCAAATTATTGAAAAATTTATGGAAAATCTATACTGATGAAACATCTCAATATTTCACATGTTTAACCAAATTATAACACCAAGAAGAGGGTTTTGCCAAACTTACAGCAATTAATTAAATAGCCTGTTTACGAGGAAAAACAAAAGCCTGTCAACACTCTGAAATCCCTCCAGCTCTGCTGGAGCATTTACATCCATCGGCTGTACAATGCTACCTGCCTCTGGCACCTCAAACATGCCTAGGCCCACACTTACCACCTCCCTCTCCCCAAAGCTTCCCCTCCTCCCAACACGTCTACTCTTGTTCTGACACCATCACCCTTCCCATCAATCACCCAGGCTTTGGGGCTAAGAGTCATCTTGGCCTCTTCTCTCTTAGTTGTTTATTGTGTCTTCACGACATCTCGCACACATCTCTTTCTTCTCACGCTGACAACAGTCAGGGCCTCATCTGGACTACTCCAATAGCCTCTTAATTGGGGTGTGTGTGTGTGTGTGTGTATCTGGCATGATATATAGGTACAAATGAGTGTATTTAGGTGTGCCCAAATGTCTATAGGGATCTATCTGCAAAGTCTTTGTGTAGCTTGAAGCTTTAAAAACTTGAAATGGCCCTAACTTTCAGGATACCCTCTCTGTCTACATATATAGCCCTGTGTATATACACATACATGGATGGATGGATGGATACATAGACATAGATTCATGTCTTCTTATCTCTCAGACTAGTTTTTGATCTGCTATTCACCTGCCCAAGGGTTTTCCACATACCTAGTCATTCCCTTTCTTCAGAAATTTATTTTTTTCACTGAGTACTACTCTTGGGTCTTCCCTTATTCCACAGTTTCCTTTGGGGAATTAAATGTTTCCCTTCGAATTCCATTCCTACCCTATAGGATGTCCGTGACCCTTCCCAATCAATGTCCTCTGTGGCTTTAATGAACAGACTTTCCTCCATCCATATTCAACTGGAGACCTTTGAGTATTAGAGGTGTGGCCTTAGAAAGCTGCCTGGAGCATGGAGTGATTTGCCCAGGGTCACCTGGTCAGGATATACACTGTAGAGTCAGGACTTGAACCCGGGTCTTCCTGGCTCCAGGGCCGACTCTCTGTGTCATGCCACCTCTCAGGTACCCTTAAATGTGGGAGAGAATGAGTTTTCTTTTCTTCTTTTTCACTCCAGCACCTCCTTCCTTTTCAGTTTAGTACTTTTTAGAGTAAATTCTAAAACACTCTGCTAAATGTTTCTTTGCTACATCTTGATTCATGCCTGACCAAGAGTTAATTATTCCTCTATTTTAATCTGTTCCAGAATTTAAAAATCCATTCTCAGACACCAGTCTCTTTAATCAGATGTCCATTTCCCAACCTTCCCACTGAAGACCTCTTTTTGCTGCCTTGGATTGGCAGGAGAGACAAAAACGTGACTTGTGCCCGTGAGGCCTTGAGCTTCTCGCTAGGACTTCTTCAGTCGAAGACTCCTAGAACGTTTAAATAAGGTTCAAGAGACAGATGCTTGGGACATGTTGGGCTTGAGATGCTTCCATGGGGACATTCATGCAGTTATACAACAGGTGATGCAGGACTGGTGTTCTGAGAGAGATTAAGACTGGGCATACGTCCTTGGGGAGTCGTATTTATAAAGACAATTGAACCCACAGAAACACCATATATCCTAAGAGTACAAGGGAGAAAGAGCAGGGACAGAAGAGGGCCAAGGGCAGTCTAGGTGGACATGTGTGTGGACATGGGAGTGGAATAAGCAGAGGAAACAGAGAAGGGGCAGTTGGACAGAGAAAATCAACAGAAAAGAGCATCAAAATGAAGGGACCATCCTCGCTGAGGGGGTGGTCAACACTCAAAAGCAGATGAAGTATCAAAGAAGGAAAGCAAAGGCTGAAAAAGTATCTTTGGACTTAGCAGCTAAGATGTCGCTGGCAAACTCTGAGAGAACAGTTTTAGGAGAGTGCATGAGCGTGCAGCGAGGAAGTGGACACTGAGGTTAGTTACTGCTTCTTTTAAAAAAAAATTTTTTAAAGGCACTTAGGGTTAAGTGACTTGCCCAGTGTCCCATAGTTAGTTGAGTGTCTGAGCTGGATTTGAACTCAGGTCCTCTTGACTCCAGGACTGGTGCTCTATCCACTGTGCCAAGCTGCCCCTCAGCTACTGCTTCTAGGAGCAGAGAATGGAGGAGAGATACAAGATGACAGCTCAAGGAATTGCCTGGCTAAATTAAGGTTGTTTTTATTTTTTAAAATGTATGTGTTGACAATGGAGAAGGAACACTGGCAGACGGGGATACATAAAGTATTTATTATATGCACCAGGCACTTTGCTAAGTGAGAGGGATGTAAATACAAGGAAATAAGACAGCTTTTGCCCTCAAGGATCTTACCTTCTCATGAGGAAAGGGGAGCTGTAGACTTGGGCAATGGGAGCTAGACAGGACCTGCATGGCAGCAAGAAGAGAGACTTCTTCCCAAGAGATGAGAACTAAGGGCGGAGAGGACAGATGAAGATGTAGGTGTAGAGGGGTTTTGGGACACGGAATATCTCAATATGAAGATGTCTGTGAGAGGCGGCTACCATTTTCTTAGTAAAGAAGGCAGGGATTTTTATCTGCTGAGACAAGGACGGCTGCAGAAAGAGATGATCTGATGCAGCAATTACAGGAAGCACCACAGAGGGTCAGTGAGGGCAGAGCAAAAAGATTGCCAGGCAATAGTGAGGGCCCAGACGTAATTCGGTTTCCATAGTTGTGTTACCTCCTCCAGTAGCACTGAGGGGCTTCGTAGCGGAGGCAGAGGAAGTGGAAAGAATTTTAAGGCTGAAGGATAGAGCTCAGTTGATCTGACTACCTTGATTGTCAAGAAGGAAAATGATGTAGAGCAGGGGAGATGAACTGGGAAAACAGAGATAAAGGAAGAGGAAGGACTGTCTTTTGCCTTTCTTAGTGTACTTGGTGCTTAGTATATAAATGTTTATTGACTGACTGATTGACTGGAAGGCTTCCACGGACCCAAAAAAGCAATCTTTTAAATGATGTAATAGTTTCATGTCTACCTATCTGGGGGTTTTAGCTGACAGATATTCATTATTTCATCACTAACCAACTGATTCTAACAGTTCCAAAGCTACAACTGTCTCCTGGTGCATATGCAGTTTTGAGGGCTAAAAATTATAAAATGTTCAAAGAAATAGAATATTTGTGATAAAAAGTAATCATAAAACATGTCTTCATGATCTATGTATGTTAAAAGATTTTTTCCAGATAGTTACTTATTTTAGAAGATAAGAAGCTTTTCTTAAAAGAAGAAATACTTTTTTTTAATGACGTCTAAGCTGTTCTAATGAGTGAGTGTGACCATGAAATATTCAACAGAAAGATGAGTACTTATCAACAGTTTCTTTTCCTGGAACAGAACTGCCTGTAAAGCACGTGTTGCTGAGAGGATAAGCCTCCTTCCTCTAAGTTTCTAAAGGCAGTAATGCTTTAAGAAATGGGAGAGGTGTGCAGTGGATAGAGCACCGGCTCTGAATTCAGGAGGACCTGAGTCCAAATCTGGCCTCAGACACATAACACTTACCAGCTGTGTGACCCTGGGCAAGTCACTTAACCCCTGCTGCCCAGCCCAAAACAAAACAAAACAAAACAAAAAAGAAATGGGAGAGGACAGTCATCACCAAAGAAATGACCAAATATCATCACACAACTTTTCTTCTACTAACGTATTTGTTGGGAAAGGGCTGAATAGATGGCGCCTCACATACAGTGTAAACAGCATAAACTATAATCACCTGGCATAGAATTCTCACCCTTTGCCTAACATGTCAATTTAAAACTAAAACTAAAACCAAGATAAAACTGGTGTTCCCAGCACATCGGTTCAGCTTGTGCCTGGACACATGCTCTGGACAGTATGTCTGACACAGTCTCTCTCCTGGGCATCTCCTTCCTCATCACAACAGACACTCGAAGGCCAAGGGTGGTGTTTCCACTCCAGGCCACATGCCTTCCCATGGCACCTCCTCAGCTGGAATCCTAAAGATTCTTCCCAACAGCCAGGGCAAGAGAAGGGGGAACTTACCTTTCTGACTTCTTTACTTGATCTGAATGTCTGTTGAACAAAGCAGTCACTTTCAATCGCTTCAATTTCTTTGACTCGTTTCACTTGTTCTCCTAGGGTGGCTTGGTCTACAAAACGAGGGTATACACTGTCAACATATTTTAGGGAAGTTTGTGATCAGTGCTGTGTTTACTCAATGTTTTCTGAAGATGTTTTATTACTTATGAAATATGAACTGGGATGAGGTCAAGACATCTAAGCCAAACTGTCACAAAGAAATTCTCATCCACTGCACAACCAATGAGGGACTGCAGACTGCAGACTGATATTCCCAAAGAGCTAAGGAAGTGCTTCATTGGAAGTGGGAAATTTTGCTGAAAAAGTGTCACCATTGACAATGATAATCCCAGTGGGTCTGTGTTAATCTTGTGGGAGGATATTTAGTTCTTTCATAAGCTAAGTCCAGTGGGAAGAATTCTCTCTTTATGGTTCATAAACCACATCATGGATTCTGCATTCTAGCTTGTGCTATAAATAAAACGGTGAATTAGCAGTTACCATTTTCTTGGTAATGGCATTTAAAAAATTTGGGTGAGAGCTAGCAATTATTGTCAGATGGCCCATGAAAATAATTTTAGCTTTGATGAAGAAAGATAGATGTTTGCATCTAATAAATCAAGATATTTATTAAGAACAGGCTAAATGCAACCATGGTAGATTTAAAAAAAGAGATGATCTAAAGACAAGCTTAGCTTCAGACACTACCTTTATTTTTTTTTAAAGGCATTTTTAGTTTTGGCTTCTCAAATATTTATGTATAAATCACTTGGTCAGCTACATTGTTTTCTTGGAAATGATCTTAAACAAAACAATAAAAGTTATGTTTATTTTTCTGTATGAAATTTCTCTGCCTACCAAATCTACAAACAGTAAATTTCACAAAGACAATTCTAAGCCCTAGGAGGAATTTTATTTTTAAACTAATCTAAAGCATGGCTGGCATGGGAGGAAGGGGGAGGTGAATTCATTGGCATGGATATTCCGTCCACTGATAAAGAAGGCAACTTGTCTTTTTCCAAAAGTCATCATCTGGTGGTGAATCTTCTGGTCATGACTCTTTGTACTAAGAGTAGCACTCATCCTGTACTTGGAGATTTTCTAGCTCAGACGTACTAGAATCTGCTGGCATTAGGTTTAAAGAGTTCAAAGTCATCTCTATAAGCCACCAAAGTAGAACCTGGGTGGAGGATACCATCCCCACACCGTAATATTGATATATCCAAAGCAATGAATCCATTCGGAGTTACTTTACATATCTTGACAAAACCCTGAGTAGATTTGTAAAGAAATGTCATTACATAATGCTGTTCTACATGACCCAGCTTTTGACTTTTATTAATTAGGGGAAAGTCTTGAACGATTCTTAATTAGCCTGTCTGAGGTCATTTTCTAATCACTAGTGTTGAGATGAGAATTCATAAGGGCTCTCTTCAGACTTTGGGACTATCTTGGAAATGCTGAATGATTTGAATCCATGGTTCTTCTCCCTCTGCTGGGAAAATAAGACATTTTCTCATTTGGATTTGCAAAGTGCTTCCCTAGATGTCAGGGGTGAGATCACAAACAGCTCCTGACAGCTAAAGCTTGTCATGTTTGCGGCTTTAACCCTGGGCACACTCCCAGCTTGGAACACTCATAAAAGCGTCATTGCAGAACTTGGCCAAAGGGACAGAATGCTTAAAGAGATGACAAGGGAGAACATCAGAAGAAAGGCAAGGAGAAAGACGAACAGACAGATTAGAAGACAACAGAACATTATCTTCTTTGTGCTCCTGGAAAAGTCAATTCAGAAATAACAAAGTGACAGGACAGATAGGAGAAGGGTAGATCACTTACCCTAAGACAGGAAAAATAAGCCAGAGAGCCCACAGTCTTTTAGCGTGGAAACAATGGTACCAATAGTAGGAAAGCTTGATAAACACATTTCTGACTAAAAGGGATATCTTTTGCATGAAACTAATGTTTTGGGTTTCCTCAGAGCTTACTTTTCTGTGATCTGAAACCATTTGCTTATGGAACATGCTCTCTATATCCTCAGACACACATCAGCAGTTCTAGCATGGACTGCCTCAAATTCTTGTTTTAACCCTTTGCTTATGCGATGCTTTTAGGAAACATCCATGACCAAAACTTACAAAGACTAATTCTGCCTTTTAGACTATGTTTGGTAAACACTAAAATTCTAGAGAAGGCCAGCACCTGCTGAAGCCCAGGCCTTTAATAAACATCTGTGGCATTGAATGTGTGGAAAAATATGGAAACTTTACAAACTGGCCATCATTTTAATCTTGCGCATAATAAATTTCTTTTTTGAACACTTGTATTAATCAGATATGAACTGATGGTAAAGACAAGTAACACAGTTATGGACAGAATCAAAGTCACAGAAGGTTTTGAGAGTGACATCAATGACATCAACATGGTAAAAATGGACGGGAAGGAAGCACAATCCATTAGTGCACGATACTTTTTGACAAACATATTCTTGGGGGATAAAATGACTTCCATATGTTGTTTGTCAGATGTCAGTAGAAGGGATATGTATTTCATAGTAAAACAAAAAATAATGGAGTCAGAAAGCTAAGAGGCTACGGACAAAAAAATCAATACAAACTCACTGCACAGCAAATCCTTTTACTCTGTTCATAGTGAAAAAAGAAAATTAAATATTTCATTATGTTGTTGAGGCTATTTTTATATAAAAAAAAAGGCTCTTCCTGATTATAGGAAATAAGATAAGGGCCACAATCATGAGTAATTTCAGATAATACAACATTAACACTTGAACTTGTTTTTAAAATAATAACAAATGGTAACATACACTTGGAAATAGTTAATAAAAACTACAGGACTCTAACGCAAGTCTTCATTGTGTCAGTCTTTCTGTTATTTATGGATAGACATCCTGCCTAAGCCAACGGTCCCAAACTGGGCAGCAATGCTCTACTGAAAACAGCAGATGGCATTAGCAGACAAGATGTCACAGCAAAGGAAAAAAAAAGTCAACCAAAGTATTGGGAAAAAGCTCCCTATTTGAACAAATACATACTGAAATTTCAGCATCAAGTGACTCAGAATATTAACATTTAATGAATTTCCCCCAAATTAAACATGATTCACAGAATCATAGTATTTTGGCTACACAGTTATCGAGTTAATCCTCAGGTTATTTTTTTTTTTTTTTTTTGTGCATCCTTAACTATATTGCCAAAATGACACAAAAAAAATAAAAAAAAAAGAAGTTGTTTTTAGATTGAGCTATTACAATGGAAATATCTGAAATTTCTTTTGAGAGTATAATTTAGCCATTAAAAATAGTAATTGGTTTAAATCAATTAGAAAGGTTATTTTTATGTATTTCAAGTGATTTATAAATACTGAGAATGAAATGATAACTTTTATGTTAAGATGGCACTTTACTGATTCTTTTTAACAACTGGTAAAAGTCTGCATGTAGATGGTGTTCTTCACATGGGGTCCATGAACTTAAAAAGATTTTTTCATAATTATATTTCAGTATAATTGGTTTCTTTTACCATCTGATATATTTTATTTTATGCATTTAAAAACACTATTCTGAGGAATCCATTTGCTTCATCAGACTGCAAAAGGGGTCCATAACATAATAAAGGGTTAAGAACTCCTGCCACCACACTTACTTGTATTTAAACAAGTGCTGTACCGTCTTTCAATAAGACATATTCCCAGCTTTCCCCTAAACATATTTTAAGGATCTGTGATTTCATCAGTGTGGCTATTGCCTTTATCAAAACAGATTTCAGGCCTTCCACAACTTAGCAGGTGGTTTCTAGGAGTTTCTGTCTGCAGTCTAGCCATGGGTCTTCAGAAGAGACACATGAAATCTGTCACCAGGCCATGCCTACCCGAGCTCACGTTGCATTAGCCCAACCATAGAGACAACAAAGTCATCATATTCATTCTGAGGCATCTAGGAAAGGTTTAATGGTGGCTCCTTTTCAAAATACAATGTGTTAGCAAAACAAAGCCAAATGCTGAGTAATTGTAATGACAAATTGGTCTTGGGGAAAAGAAACAGAAATGGCTCTCCCTGAGCTTTCTTGAGAAAGGTGTGATGAGATCACTGGGTCTGCTGGTTTGGCAGGAGGGCTCAGTGATTGGTTGGTTAGGTAGCGTATTAAGAAAAGTTGTTTTTGGTCAGTTGTTTCAGTAGCGCCCAACTCTTTATGACCCCACTTGGGATTTTCGAGGTAAAGATACTGGAGTGGTTTGCCATTTCCAGCTCATTTTACAGATGAGGAAACAGAGGCAAGCAGGGTTAAGTGACTTGGCCAGAGTCACACAGCTAGTTAAGTGTATGAGTCCAGATTTGAATTTAGGTCTTCCTGACTCCAGACCTGGCACTCCATCCATGCCACCCAGCTGCTAACTGTTTACACTGAAATGAATTGACTAAAGTAGCACAAACACATTTCCAGTCACTGCCTCTGTTCTAATTCAAGTTTCTTCCTAGGTGATGACAGCTGGTGTGCACTCTATTGTTTTGGTTCTCCTCCCCTATCCTCTTTTGCATTTTTTCACAAGCTCTTTGTTTTGTTGTATTCTCCACACTTGTTGGCATAAACTGTCTCAAAGTGTTCTATTACATCAGTGCCACAATTTACTTAGCTACTCCTCTGCTGTTCGATATTTAGGTTAGTTCTAATTTTTTGCGATTACATATAGTGTTGCTATGAAAATATCTGAACAGAGAGCTTTTTGTTGTCTTTGTTAACACTTTCAGGGTATGCTCCCAACAACGGCATGGCTATTTTTACAACTTCTACAACTTTTCCCATGTACCGCTCCCCAAAAAGGTTCAGCAAGTGTGTAATTCCACTAGTAATGAGTGAGCATAGAGGTTCTTCCACGATTGTCATTACTGAATTCTAATTTTTTTTGAGTTGGAGATGCACGTTTGATAGGTGTGAGGTGGTATCTCAAAGCTGTTTTAACCAGGTTCTGGGGTCCACAACACAGAACTCTGCTACATCAGAAGCTGTGTTTTAAAGAGTTCCCTGTGGTGCTTCTGTTAAGAAGCCCTGCTGTA